CATTCCTGGAATTTAAGCCCATGTGTCATTGCTGGTGTCTCCACCCTTATTTGATATGATTACTAAACTGTGATTACACAACTAATTTTGTTGCTAATTATTGTTCATTCTGAGTTAACCAGCACATATGTCATAGTTTAGTTCCACAGTATATTGACGCTCAATAATACTGATATCACTAATGTGATGTTTTTATTGTTTGATTTTCCTCTGCAGCAATTCACTTCCAGCCCCTACCAAGAAGTTATTTTCTGAACTTATTCGGGAGGCTCACGTTTCACTGCAAAGATGCAACCTGGAGCAGCTGGGCATAAATAACAGCACCTCTTACAGAACTGAGCGAACCAACACTAAAACAACAGCTTTCATGACTAACGGACAAGATCTTTCTAAGAGGGACAGTAAATCTGTTAAAACACAGAGCGAAACATCACCTGGAAAGAAAGGTCAAACAGTTGTTACAAGGAGGAAAGTTAAGACAGACAAAGACCTTTTGAATCCATTGAACCGTAAGGACAATGTTGGGACAGATTGTTCTGAGACCAATAATGTTACTGCTCCAGCAGTGTCCCAGAAATCCTCTGTGGATGAACGAAAGTCTGAAGGACATTCAGAGGTAGAAGTAAAGCAGCATAAACGGCCGGCGCCTCTGCCTCTGCCAGCCCTCGCTCTTTTTTTAAAGCAGCATTTGACAAAATCTAAAAAAGCTAAGAGCAAGCCGGACTCTCTTTCTCCAGCACTCCCATCTGAATCTCTGTCTGAATCAGAGAATTCTGCTGCAGCTTCCACATGTGCGCCTTTTGATCCGACCGTCAGTGCAAGTGGTCCCTCCAAGAACATTACAGAATCCGACAACCAAGCCTCCAGACATCTTCATCCACATGAAGTGGTTTCTAATGTTACTGAACAAGCAGTGAAAACCCATCAGCCTTCCAGTCTATCATGTCAGGATGCTGTTGCCACTACAGATCTAAAGGGCCCAAGAACTGAGGATTTTGTGGCCTCCATTTCAGTTGCTGAAAGCACAGAGCCAGTGGTGCCAGATGATGCACCAGTGTTGCCCAACTTAGATCAGTCATTTTGCACCCTTGGAACATCTATATCAACAATTTCAACTCTTGCTACCTCTTCTCCGTCTTCCATTTTGTCACCACCCCTTGACACAGTGTTATCTGCC